CACGAAAACTTCTAGAAAAGATTTTCTAAAAAAGGCTCGAATTCGCCAAATTGGGCCATTACTCAGTAAGAGATATCTGGAGTAACAAGTCCCTACTATAATGCAAATCCCCGTTCCCACAGAACTATATCAGTTATCCGCTGCATGAAAACCTCAAAATGCCCGAAAGAAAAAAGTCATTTTGTTTCCACCTAGGAATCTACATGTGTCGGAATCAGAAGAGGGCGAATAGCTGATAGTAGAAGGTATGGGTTTCCCAATCTTTCTTAATATTAGACCACACGAAATGTGCTTGTAGCACGGATTGCAGTAGAATATGTTTCACCCATGCACTTGGTACTAATCGACAAGCTGCCCAGATTGCTTGTTCCTGCGATGTCTTGAAGTCTCACGATTACCTGGGTCTCTTCTCTGCGATATCTGTCACTAAGTCGCGAATACGTTCATCCAAACATCCATCAACCACCGACACCCCAAAACGATCTCTAAAAAGGGAATTCCTGTGTTTTTTGCACAGCTCACTGAAATCCTCACTAGCAAATACTGAGCATCTCGCACTCAGCGTAAAAACTTTTAACTCAGCGGTTTTTCCTTCGTGCAAAGAAGGAGAAAATGTATTGTTGTCAAAACTACTTAAAGGTCGATAAATCCGGCGTGAGGCGACGCCCAGAATTAGTCTTTTGTACATATCCCATCTTTGGTCTAAGCCCTTTACTTACATCAATGTCATGTCGGCTCCACGTGCAGCCAGATAGCAGAGGCAGGCCAGCTGCCAATGAGGACGCACTCGACTAGCGATATCGTGGAGATTCTGAATACTATAGGTTATTTCACTCCACTACTTTCCCATTAAGATCCTTACCATATTTATCAGATCAGTACATGCATTTATAGTGAAAAATACAGTATTTGGCAAATCGCCAACATTACATTCACGTGACGCTTGCGTTAAACGATTCAGCTCTCTTACTAAGAGGTGTGACGCAGTTTGGCCGTCACAGTCCTGAGCATTTAATGGACAACCTGCTTGAACTAGAGCCTGGAGAAGTGATACGTGCTCTCTAAAGACAACTGTCAATGTTGATTATCACCTGTACACACGCCAGCCTGTCCATATCCTTGTCGACTGATCCTTGCCACGTTTCTAGGGCCAAATGCAGCGCCGTCCGGCCAAGTTTCGAGAAACGATTTACGTCAGCGTTCAGCTGAAGTGATGACTGTGAGGGCTCAGAAAGGGAATTGCGCTGTTTCATGAAATCTAGAAGTTCAAACATCCATATACGCTTGAAGATACTCGGAATAGAAATCCTCCTTGCTTTTCTTGAAAAGTGGAAGTATAGTATGTGCAGTTACTAACCCACGATTGTTATTTCCCCTGCTATCTGTCACAGCTGATTCCCTTATATACTCGAACAACCTCATACCTCAATTAATGACTCCGTACACCTTCTTCTACCATAGAAAGCAGCTAGCAGCAGTGGCGGAAAACCATTTCCAGTGTCCGCATTTAGCTGCTGTGGTCTTGATTGCATGATGAGTTCCATAGTTCTGGAAAGTTCCAGATGAGAGTTAATTATATTACACTTTACTGTACACAAACTTGTAGTAATCCTTTGAAATAGCTATGTGTACAGGTGTTAGCTCATCTTCATTATATAAATGTAGATTGAGCCTAGCATTAGCTAGAAGTCTTCCAACCATTGCAATTTTAGTTGGCGATTCCGGTAATGCGCATACAATGTGCATCGGACTGTCACCGTTAGCATTCTAGCAAAAAAAGAGTTTTAAGCTGAGAGGCTACAGACAGTTGGGAATTTCTTGCCTGAATATTACTGTGGAGATGATTTGTGTTGAGAAGTCGATCCAAGCAAGCCGCATGCTGTCCTCTAGCGGCCAGGTGCATAGGTGTATCTCCATCGGAATTTGGTCTGTTCACTTCGCTGCCAAGAAACATTAGCAAGCCTTCTAGGATCATCACGTAACCCCTGTAATGCAGTTTACATTCGAAAAAGGTGCACAGTACAAAATTATTGAATGGACGAGCATCAACGGTAGTGACGAGGCAGTCGATGCCGTATACGGTAAGTGCCAGCCAATCGCGGTGTAGTGCCACGCCCACTACCACAAGCTCATAGCCCGTCTATTTCTTTAGTCTGAAAAATCACCTTTCAGCTGCCATATGCAACAGGGTGTTCCCATTAGCGTCTGCTGCATCACGTTGCGCTCCAAGTGATAGCAAAGTCACCGTTGCTGTCCAGTTCCCATCGGCTACTGCACACATGAGTGGTGTATGGCCGCCTTCTGCCACACAATTTAGCTAAATTGACTTTTTATTCGAGCTACAAATGGATTTTCGTAGTCTTCCACCTGATCAAAATGATTTTGTGCAGTCATTGCAAAGTGGGCAGGGCCATTATCACTTTTGTTCCAGCATGAAACAGCGGTAAACATTTGGTTGCCTTCGTTAGCTGAGAGAACGCCATGTAGCAAACGAGATGCTGAGGCATCCACCGGTGGGTCACTGTGTTCGCGGAATACTTGGGATAAGCAGCCGAAGGTGCTATCTGGGAAAATATTCAATACTCCTCTCTCATAAGGGCTTGCCAGAATCTACCTGTGTAAATTGGTAGCAGAGCATCAGAGGCACGGTCCTCTTGTGTCCAGAATAGCATTTGTTTCGCAAGAGACTCCAAGCAGAACAACTGATCATCACTGCTGGAGCTGACCACGGATCGAACTGTCACAAAGTGAACTTCCTAGAGTACAAAATAGAACATTTTTAGATTTTAAATTTTTTGCAAGTTTTTGCGAGGTATATGCCCACTAGTTGTCCATCATCTTCAACTTGTTCAAGTACGGCATGATCTCCGACTTCGAAATGGATCTTATACAGTGGTCGAAGAGCTTGGGCGTGCCAGACAACATCAAAAGCCATCTTGATACAACCCTCTTGGACTAGAAATTCTTCCATCATTCATATCAACATACCAGCTGACTCTCAGTGTAGATTCCATACTCATCGCTTCTAGACCAAAGATAAAACCGAACTATGACTGTTTGCCAATCATCGGAAACATCCGCAATGCTTCCAATTTTGCCTAACGTCTAAATACCAAGCCTTCCATAAATTGTTTTGGATTACCCAGCTATACTTACCATTACATTATATATCGAATCCCATGGCAAGTGCGAGTATTCATGGAGCTTCTCAGCATGTCTGGCTTCTCGCTCCTCCACATAGACCCGTCGCCCTGTTTGCAACCAGCTCATTTCGTAAAGAAATGCGAAATGAGGGCTGACCAGATGTGAATGAGAAAAAAAATGACACGTAAACATGAAATCTAGTAGACTTGTAAAGTGCTATTGCCTATTTTGATGGAATGCTAGCAGATAAACGTGAACTTTTTGAATATCAGTAAAATTGTGCTCTCGCCATAACATGTGCCTTGATAATATGTTCACATCGCTAGATATCCTCTCGGGCGCTAAACGCAGGAGAACGAAAGAGGGCATTAACTGCCCGTTTTTAGGTGTTCACTAAAGTCAGTCAAAGATTTACCCTAAATCCATCTCTTCATTCCTTGTTTCCTATACTCGTCCACTTTTAATGCCTCATATAAGCACGCAAGGGTTTTTTTGTTTTGATGTTAATCATGCTTGCTGTAACTTTTGGACTTGGTTTTTTCCACAGCATAACCCGAGAGGTTATATATTGACAGCTTCAGTCATACTTACTTATTTAGATACTTAGATGGGCTGTCATTTGTCGTGCAGGCCACAGCACTGTTTCCATCCGTTTCTGTCTCCCGCTAGCGTCATCCACGATATTAATATTCAATTGCGGCGGCGATGTTGCAAGGTCCAGACCTATTACTCGTAGCTGAAAATTCAGCTGGTCCATCCGTGCGACGAACACGTCAGCCCATCTGGTAGGTGGCCTCCCTCGAGAACATTTTGCTTCCCAGCGAATCCATCCCAGAGTTCTTAGTGTCTATCTGTCGTCTGTTCTTCTCATTATATGAACAGCCCATCAATGTTTTGCCTTAGAGAGTGTTCCGCTCGATCGCAAAGACGAGCCATTGATCTCACATCTGAACTGCAACGTCCGACGTGATGTTGAGTGCGTTATGCTGCAGAAGACGTCGTTCCAGCGCTCTGTGGGTTATTCGAAGAGCTTTTGACGTAGCCACAGTGTCAGGCCAC